GGTAAGAGAAACTTGGCCGCGGTCGCCCGGATTGTTGAACAACTCCCTCGTTACTCTAGGAATTCTCTATTTGCAAACAAGAAGACATACCCAAACAGTTAGATCAACACAGTGAATCATGTGAAACAATATGAAAAGAAAAAAGAACGAAGCACTTGGGCGGCCAATGCTTACAAAGAAGGTGGACATGTCGGTTTTTGTAAGGACTTTGGTATATGAAGTGTGAACTGCAGCCCAGTCTGTTGCCGGTGCAACTACACGGGCCGGAGCAGATGCAAGTGCAAGTGTTGGTGCAGGTGCCGAAGCCGCTGCTGCTGCCGGAGATGGTGCTCCTTGTAGAGCTGGTGCCGGTGTCGAAGCAGGTGCCGGTGTCGATGCCCGATCCTCCGGTAGATCAGACTGATCCGCTGACGCGGTCGGTGCCCAATCCTTAGCTAGATCAGACTGAGCTGCTGCCGTTGTCAGTGCTAGAGAAACTGACGATGCTCGATCCGTTATTGAAGGTGGTACCGATGTGCGAGACAGCGGCGATCGTGTCTGGTCTGCTATGATCAGCTTTCTAACTTGACTAGGATCCGTGACCGTGATCCAGTTTTTTTCTTCATTTCTTTTAAACGCGAGAAGGACTAATTGTGGCATTTTTGTTAAACCAAACTGCAGTTCAGCATAGGGATTCAGCTTGTACTCAGAGACTGATCTAATTTTTTCCAGTAATATAAGTGATGGACAGTGCCTTCATTACTGACACGACATAAGAAGTGAAACCTGCAAAAATAGCCATCGTAGAGCAAACCAAACGGTTTATTCTGTGATGAATGTCACATGGCAAAATCTACATCATAAAATTGCAGGAAAAGAAAGAAAACATGACATTAAATCGATAAGATTTAGACAGTAAATCAATAAGATTTACTTGATGTGACACGAGTGAATCCTTACCAGGAAATCACTATGTTGAAGTACTAAATAGAAGATTGATCGTCCAACTACGGGTGGCATGCAGGGGGCCCTCCTACTCCCACAAGCAGGACAGTCCAAAGGTCATGACAAATCGTATGGACTGAACATCCATGGGACTGGAAATCCTGGTGGGTGTGATAAACCCTGCAATGCATACAGATATTGGAGTGTAACCATAATTGATAAACCGTCCTCACAAAAAAGATGATCTGGATACTTCAAAATATACAGACTGAATTGAGTGGACAGACATTAACATAGACCGTTCTCAGGACTGACCACACACCAAAAGTGGTAGTACTAATAAACAATACAGGGTTCACAAACACAAATCAAGTACTGAACAATAGTACTTACTATAGACAAGCAAAGTTGCACTAATTAAACTCTGCAGACTATTTCTTGCCACTGACCTACGGGATGAACCCCGCATAACTAACTAGGCCATGGACTTCGTGAGAGATGTCTACATGCACCATCACCATCTTGTCAACCTTGGAGAACCTAACAGAGTGCTTTTTTCACTCATAAACATGATGATGAAGACAGGCTGCATCAGATTTGTTGGGAAGCTTTACAAGAACCACACCCTTCATAATCGAAGGCACAGCTAGGAAATTGTTGTGGTCAAGTACAACCTCGAGAACATGCCTGACAACAATGCTACAGGAAAACACTAGTTCAGGACACGTGGCGACAAGGGCACATCAGCTGGATAGTTTAGCAGTAGAACTCATCCCCAGGTCTTCTAGTTCACACGGCATGACTTTGAGAACTTCATCTCCACCGCGGACCTGGTTCTAATTCAAACAGAAACCATATTTTATTACTACCTCCGTTCAGAAATATAAGATGATTTTCGATATTATACTCCATATATGACTACATATATGCACAGAAATGAGTGAACAGAGACACTAGAACATGTCTTCAAAGGCATGAGAGCAGAGGGATTACTTGCAGTATCCATAATACAAGTTACTGAGGCAAATATACCCTCTTCAAATGTAGCATTGATGTTCATAAAGTACTCCATCCGTCCCACATTTATTAGATACATCCGTATCTAGACAAATCTAAGACAAGAAATTTGGGACAGAGGGAGTACTTGAAAGTAATCTATAAGAAATCAGTGTCAACCTCTCGCATGTTTTGGTCAAAAGAGGAATTTAGAAACATCGTTTGGCACACTAAAATCACATGCAAGATCACCCAGAAAGTTGTACTACCAGTACTAGTACTGCGTGTTAGATGAAAAAACACTATCAAGATCGAGAAAAAGATCGTCAACAAGAGACATTACCTGGACTTGCTTAATGAGGGATCCCGGAGAGAGGGGCTTGGACAGGGCGATGGCTTTGAGCTTGTGTGCGGTAGTTTCGGCGGGGTGCTTGCGCTTCTTCGTACCATGAGCCTCGACGGTTTTGGCCAGAGCCATAGACATCACGTCGGCCGGTGCTCTAGCGTCCATCCAAGAGAGGAAGCTGAGAGAGAAGAGTGAAAGGAGGAATGAGATGAGGGAGAAGCGAAGCGAGTGGGGGTTTTCTTCAAGAGAGGAAGCTGAGAGAGAAGAGTGAAATGATGGTTGCTTCATCCGTCCAACTTACTGCTGGAAAGGAGGGGGTTTTGTGATTTGACGGCTCATTGGGCATTACTGCGGCGCTTTGATCGGGGTAGTCTACCGTCACACTACTACGGAGTAATTTAGTGCATGGCTGGTGGACCCAGGTGCTGGCTGTCCCACACGTCGGCGAAAGTGAGTAATTTAGTGCATGGCTGGAGGAGGATCCACACGGTAGAGCGTGTCCACTGTTTTTCTGAAGAAAAAATGATTACAGCAAGTGTTTCCACTCTTACGACAGAGGAGTGCGAAACACGGCAACCACTTGAACATACACAGTGCTCCTACTACTAGGCATGTGCAGTCGTTCATACGTCAGTACTAGACAATCTTGTTGCTAGTGTAGTAAGATATGACGATAACAATGATGTTGTGCGCATGTCAACTACTCCTATATGTAACATAGTACCGCTTTTTCGACTGTCCGGTCGAGAATGAACGGTGAGATCAATGTTAACAGAAGTAGGTCTACAGTGCACGGAGAGTACGGTGCTACAGTACTCCACAAAACATGAACCATATGAAGCACGAATAGTGTTAGGCAGGGTGTATAAAGGGTGCATGGGCTGGGAGCAAAAGTTGTGCAAATAGCAAGTATTGTAGCAAGTATTGTAGCAAGTATTGTAGCACAAGGGTTCATGCAAATACCCAACTATTCTCCAGAGGTGGAATCTCATTCTGATAACTTATATCTTGTCAGTTCAAAATCATCTCTGCAGTTGATAGATGTAATGATTACATATCCATGTAGATCACTAGATTCGGATATATATGGTTCCCGACAGAACCTCAACTCTGAATTGAGACATACATCGTGTAAAATCAATAAGTCACCTGACTTATTATTATCGTCGGTATATTTGGTACAACCGACGTAGTGAGTTCCTTATTCACAAGGATTACTCCTACAATGATGATTATCCATGTTTGTGTGTCTACAATGACGACACATGTAATCATCTAAATGACGGGGTTTAAACTGAATGGTATACTATGTTGTCTATATCCAAAATATATTGGAGAAATTCATTGTGGACAAATCTTATCCATCCATAACTCTCATGGTAGTTCATTCTCTAGACATAGAGAAAGGTCTATAATGCCATTGAATCCACAATAATGGAAATGAGATATTGGGACTCAACGTTCCATAATGCCATTGAATCCACTGAACACAATTGGTTGGTACTCAAGAATATCTTTCGATATCTTCAAGGCGTCAAACATCTTGTCCTGGTTTTTTCAGTTTCACAGAAATGTGAACACCGATATCATTGGATACATTGATCAAATCCTCACTATGTCAGATCGTAAACAAGTTTAGTGTTCCTACTAGGTGTGATAGCCCTCTCATAAAGAGTCTTCAAAAGAGTCTTCAACATGTAACTATGAGGCATATCTTGCAAGTCAAATCATGTAACTGGTTTGTTCACCAAGTCTCTATGGGTTTTCTCGTATTGAGTTAAAAGAGACAATAACCATTATATGTTGCATCATTTTCTCTTATTTTCTCTACTAGGTTTCAGCAGTTTTGGCAACATATCAAACAACACTATTCTCCTCACATTTTTACCCACAGGGTTTTTGAGGAGACTTAATAATTGATGAACTATCATAAAATCAAACGGTGATTAAGGGGAGTGTTAAAAAAATAACCCTTGTGGTTATAGGGATAATCCCCGCTCCTTTTTTCCCCGTGCGTCACGATGGTTCCCTGAAACGACGCCTATAACCTGACTGTATATTACACTCATTTTTCATTCTACTCTAGATTGTTCTCCTTCGACAAGAGAACATTGTATTTTACTCATTGTGTGTGGTCTAGCGCACTGCATGAGAAGAGATGAGGAGCCCAGAACATTGTATTGCCAAAAAATATATTTCCTATTCGACAAGAACGCCGTCCAAATTAGCCCCAGTCTTGCATTGGACAGGTCACAGGTGCATGTGCAGTGAAGGTCGCCTCTGAAGCCAGAAAAGCAAGAGACTTGCTCCCCCTAATAGAAAAGAAATTGCCAAGAAAATTGATCCAAAAACTACCAAGAAAAGAAATTGCTCACGCTCGGCATCAATCAAACCAAACCAGGCAGAGTGTTTGCCTGCTATTTTACTCATTGGCAGATGCCATCAGCATTCAACATGCAACCGGCAAGAAACTGCAATCTGAATAAACCCCCACCTCATCAGTTAACTTACATCCCGCATGCGACCAGCAAGAAACTCGGCCTGTCGTTAACTTAACCGAGCAAGATCCTAAAGCTTTCTCTATGTAATCCTGACCCATACGAACGAACAAATGATCCATATATACAACTGGCCTGCCACCAGTACATATTCTCGCGATGATGCTACGGGATATAGCGAAAAACTGAAACTTTGAGTCATTTTCTCCTAAAACTACCTACCCTGACATCTGCTGCTAAGAAGTTGAAGGGGGCACTGGATTCTGCAGCACCGCGTCGAGTTGTGGAGTCGCAGAGATTGTGATGTTCTCATAGGGCTTCTCCTGATTCACATCTATCAACCCGCGGCTCTTGAGGATCTGCACAAGAGAGGTACGTAGCTTATTAGCATTTACTCCCTCCGTTCCAAAATAGATGACTCAATTTTGTACTAAAATTAATACAAAGTTGGGACATCTATTTTGGAACGGAGGGAGTATTTATTTACCATGAGTATACAAGGAGTACATGGTGCGAATCTAAACTGGAAATTTGCAAGACACAAACAACTATTGGTAAGAATAAGAATGGAACAAATGTGTTGTCTGCAAATTCTTGAGGCCCGCATTGCAATGAAAGAGGACACCGGCATCAAATTATATTGCAGAGAAGAACAATGAAAATGTGATGGATATGCATAAATATGTAAAGACACTGAGTGATCGATCATTTGTAGCAATCCAAGCCTTTTATCCAGTTCAATCTTTCAAGAAAAGGACAGCTCAACTAGGAAACAAGCTTACCAGAGTTTCATAGAAGAATCTTGCTGTGGTTTTCCTCTTGCTGCCTTCGAGGGCCTGGCCGAGCGTCACGGGGACATTGCTTTGCTGCTGGCTCTTCTGGTCCAAGAATAGCTGATGAAGGCACTTTGCTACTGCCCTGAAATAGTGAACCTAGAGAGTAAGTATTACAGGCAGATAACAGCAGGAAGAATACAAAGGAAAAGCAACAACAATCTTGTTCTCACCTAGTTCTTGTTGAAAGCGGGAAATCTGCAACAATAACAGTGGGTGGTGTATCAGAAGAAGCACAAACGTCAAACAGCACAAGCACAGCAGTATAAACTACTATAGGTTGTGAACATTACCTTCATCTCTGGCAGCATTCTCTTCATCCATAGGAATATCCTGCAACCAGAGAACATTCTCAAATGAATAAAGTGTAGTGTAAAACCATAAATAGAATCCTTTTTGCCACTGAGTTTAGATGTAGACGTGTGCTTACCGCATCTATGTCAGCAGTCAACGATTCATTGCGCAATGCACTGTGACTGGTTGATTCATACAATCTCTCTTCTGGCAGCCCTGATTCCTCTCCATTGACTAGTGTGCTGTTCTTTTCATAAGGTGTATCATCATTGCATTCACAAACATCTTGACTTTGCTGACTTTGATTGTAGCACCCAATAGGAGTATGGATGCCATTTGTCAGTTCATCTGGGACACATTCTGTTTCTTCATTTGCAGCTTCCTTGTGGGGATTGTTGGATTCAGCAGGTTCATATGAAAGACACTTCTTTGCTTTAACGGATTCCCCGCATGAGGCATCGGCTGTAGTAGAATTAAGGCGCACTGTAGTCGAATCTGTTAAAATAAGATGATCAGCTAAGCTGATGACTAACGTTTGCATCAATAACTGAGCCTGACTAGATGAATGATTGACTTACATTGAAGAATTGGCTCAATGTTATCACACTGAAGAATTGGCTCCATGAAAGTATCCTGCAGAGAACGAAATCTTGACTCCCTCCAAATCTGATGGCGAGTGTGAGGCGCCTTCCTTCTTTTGACAACTAGATCCTCTACACCAACCCCGTCTACAATTTCTCTCATCGTGCTGTAGGGGGGATGTTCCAAAAACAGTATGAATGGACCATGTATATAGAAATTCAATGTTCCATCAACATACTGCGGTATCACCTTAAAGAAAACATGCTAATGTGGCAATATTATAATTTGCATCGACCATGCATTTCATTTTACATACTACGGAATCACCTTAAAGAAGCATGACAATGCAGATCAGCCCCTCCCAATTCTCAAACAAAAAGAGGAAACACCTTAAAGAAGCATGTCAATGCAGATCAGACCACTCCCAGTTCTCAAACAAAAAAAAAGGTTTGCAACATCTGGAAGAGCTTGTGCAAGCTAGTTATTTTACAAACTCATTGTGTTGTCGGGGGGATGTTCCAAAAACAGTAACAATGTTATAGTATGAATGGACCATGTATATAGAAATTCAATGTTCCATCATACTGCAGAATCACCTTTAAAAAGCATGCTAATGTGGCCATATTATAATTTGCATGTACTACGGAATCACCTTAAAGAAGCATGACAATGCAGATCAGCCCCTCCCAATTCTCATACAAAAAGAGGAAACACCTTAAAGAAGCATGTCAATGCAGATCAGACCACTCCCAGTTCTCAAACAAAAATAAAATGGTTTGCAACATATGGAAGAGCTTGTGCAAGCTCTTCCATATTACTAACTCATTTGCACCATACAAACTTCTTAAGCTGATAGAGAAGTTCAAACTGGCTGCTAGATGCATACAAGCACACAGGAATAGGCAATGCAACAGATGAAAGAGCTTCTACAAGCAAGTTACTGTACTTACTCATTATCAAGGACAACATTCTCATCCCACAACACCCAAACTTTTCTCTTATTGTATAACCCCCTCCTCCTTTTTCTGGTAACCTGGCGCTTCTCATTTTGAGCAGGTGTTGCAACACCAAATTTTTCTAGTACATGAGATAAATATGTCACAAACATGAGCAAGATAATGACAATAAGTAGAATAGGAACTTCTCACAAAAGTTAACCTGAGGCTCCCTCTCGCAAGGGCTCTGGAGTGGAAGGTTCCAGAGACTCTTGTTCCTCGATGTCAGGAATTTCTACAGATAGTGTTGTGTTCGGTTTTCCTACCGCTAACCCATTTTCTGATTCTTCGACTACAGGATGATTTTCATCAAGATCTGCAGACACCACATTCTCCACAGCATTCACAGGTCTTTGCATTTCTTGATTCCTGCATCAATGCATGCTTAATAATGTCAAATTACAATGATAATTTTCAGAATTATCTTGAAGTAAAGAAAGTTTGATGTAACAAAAGAAAGGGAGTAGCAATACTCACTCCGGCAAAGGGGTAGAACAAGACGGATCACCATTCTCTTCACCATTCACTTCTCTTCTAGCTTTCTTCACCTCTTTGCTTTTCTCTGGAAGCTCACTTACTTCAGCCATCATATCCATCGCCTCAGGTGGAAGAACACTGTTTCATAGTCTCGTATTAGCAAACAGAGAGGAACAAGTTTGCTCTTATGAATGAGTCGGGAGAGGGGGTGACAGTTCATATACTTACTCCTTCACTGGTGTAAAGCAAGCAGGATCAGCATTCTGACTTTCATTTTCAAGTTCATCCCCTATGTTACTCAAGTACAGAAGATCGGTGACTTCATCAGTGACACTGATCATTTCAGCTGGGATGCTGCATCAAGAGATCAGCTCAGAAATCCACTGGAAGTAATCTTTTAACACCATTAGGTAACGTAGCCTATGTACTTACATGCATACTGGCACAACGTAAGCAGAGTCCAGATCAGCATATGGCATCCCCTGATAAGACTGTTCCATTAGATAAATCTTAAGTTTTAGTTTCTCAAGACAAATAAGGCATGAAAACAAGAGGAAGCTGACAGTATTGCATGTCACCTATTGCTAATGCAAAGGAACAAACGTATCTAAGGCAACACACGTGGGTGGAATAATTTACAAACCACAAACAAAATGGATACTTAACACCTTAATCGGAAAATTCATGAAACTACTGATACAGGACCATGGTAATCAGGTAAGGTAACACGTGGAACCTACTGTGGTCCCCATCGGTGGTAGAACAGGATCAATTGGTGGAAGGTACAGGTCACTTAAACTGCTGCCTGATGCATGCAAGCTTAGTAATTCTGTCTGCCTGGGAAGTATCGCATTTATAGATCACATTAGGTGGTAGGCGCGTGCAGTAGGAAACTGCTGCCTAGACTACATAGCATATTTTTTGGCAAGCTCCCCAATTTCTTTGTTTCAGATGTTATAAGAAGCATTTCACTCTATGCGCATACATGTCTTGATTATTCAGTGAATGGTAGGAAGGAAGCTGGGTACCTCGTAAAAATTTGGCATACGCTGATGTTCATCTTCCAGCAAAGTATCTGCACAAAATAATTGAAGGTCATAAATGATTCCTTAGCAATAACAGCAACATCAAGTTGCAGCATTTGCTACCTTGACGAGGCAATTGGTGATGATCATCATTGTCATCCTCTCTGCAGAGGAATTTAGAAGGAACAAATGAGACACCACACTTGAAGTAACAAAGAAATGAAACTAGTTTACGGCCATGCTTGTTCATTACCTGTCTTCAGGTATCTGCAAATCAAAAGAGTCGAGCTCAAATCTTTTGGGTACGGTGAAGATTGGTGGAAGGTCAGCTGGTTCGTCCAATCCTGGGACTTGAACTACAGCAACTCTTTTCGCTCTTCTAGTGTCTTCTTGGTCTAGCACCAATCTTCTTGCACAAGCACCTTTCTTCCCTCGCTTTAGAACTTTCTTCCCTCTTACAGTTGATTCAAAAAACTGATTGCTGTCATAGCAGAGGTATTCCACCTTCTTGGAGTAAATCCTAACAACGCCAAGCAGAAGCAGCCCAAGTATTCTGTATGTGGTTTCAACGTCGGGCAAAATCTTGTCTGCCATGAACAGGAAATGTGTGAGCTAGTCATCACAATACTATCAGAAAGAAAGAAAATACTTGAAGGGCTATGTCTGTCAACAGAAAGGCGCAATATTTAACGATATTCAAGCAGTTTCCCAGTGAATTAAATATCATTATGTAGTTTTTGTCGACAGTAAAGTTGGTTCACATGGTATATTCAGTTGGTACCTGAACCTGAAACTCAGTTCAGGTTCACGCCTGGATAACGTATAGATTAAAAAAAAAATCATATGCCAAAAGTTCTCACCGGCCAAGAGCCGTGAACCCCAAACCATCCACAAAGATCCATAACCTTCCGTTGGCCAAAACATCCCATAGTCAGGTTAAGCTTTTTATCAACATCCTAACATTCATCTTCTAATCTTTAAAAAAAAACTGCAATATGTTCGTTTCCCCGGAAGAAAATGTGAAACGAAATTTGCGAACAGTGATGCTTACACTCCACAAGAAGATAAAAAAAAAAAGATAGATGTGCACATCGATGCTTCCTAAAATCGAGAAGAAAAGGTTGAATCACCACTCCACCAACCACAACCTATTAAGGGGAACCGAAGTCACGAGAGAAAAGAGTGGTTCTCTCTTGGTCTTCTTTTTGGGGTGAAGAACCAAAGATTCTCCTCTCATCCTTCATTCACAGTGCAAGATATAAACCCCCACATAAACCCTCCCAATCTACTGTTCCACTCACCCCAGATTAGAAACCCGTATCTCCTCCAAGCCCTTAACCAAGCCAGGAAAGAACATGAGACCGCCAGAAAAGAAGACTTCTTTTTCCCCACAAATTGGTGAGATTTCTCCTCACCGAGGCCCCAACCAAACCCAAAAAACCCACAAACCCACAGAAAAAAGAGGGAGCTTTTGTCGCATTGCAGGAGGCGGGTTATGCGGAGGCAAACTAGGCGTGATATCGCTTACCGACGGAGGAGGCGACGTCGGTGCGCAGGACCTGGTCCCTGGTGAGCGCGGCGACGCCGCGGACGCCCGCCACCCACACCGCGCCCAGCGGGCCCTTCTTGGACAGCATCGTCTTGGAGTAGAACATCGCGCCGGCGCCGAGAGCACGAGCAGCCACCGGACACAGGCAGGCAGGCAGCAGCCCTAAATCACACTGCGAAACCGAACCAAACCAAATTCCGCAATGAGGCGCCGGGCGCGAGGCAAATCGAGCCAAGAAACGGGGGAGAAAGAACCGCGCAGCGGCGAAATCAGAGAGCAGATGGGGGAGGCAGAGGCAAGAACCGACCAGAAGCGCCGCGGCGCCGGCCAATGCCCTCCGTCGGCGGTCCTCTTGCGAGACTGCGGCGATCCTCTGGGGGCGGGGGCGGGGGCGGGAGTCGGAGCCGGAGCCGGGTGGGGAGGCGGAGGAGGGAGCAGTGTGGGGTAGAAGAAGGGGAGGCTGGCTTCTAGTGGAAGGAGGAAACCCCAGGCGCAGGGGGAGTGGAGCAGAAGGAGGAGACCGGAGGGGGAACGCCTGGCGAGGGGAAAAGACGGGAGCGCCCCTGCTGTCTTATGATGTGAGACGTTGGGATGGGAGGCTTTCGTTTTGGGAGGTTGCCTATTTTCTTGCTCCTTTTGAATTTCGTGTTTAATCAGTTGCCGTCTTATCGGGGCACGGAAAACGGAACGGTTTTAATGCCCCGTTCGATCTTCTTCTTTGCAACGGTAAGTTTTTGGATTTTGTACCGCGGCGGAGAGCTCTGGAGCCGTTGTGGCTTGCGGTGTGAAAAAAGTTAATGGAAAAACGATTATGTGTGCATTTTTTTGGAAACAAACATCGACGGGATTATAGATAGACCTGGCATCAGATCAGATGATTATAGACCGTTGCGCTCCTTAGGTCATTTTAATTTATTTACATTTTTTTGTTTGTTTTGCTAAAAGAGCATCAAAGCTCTATATCAAACATGTCCGGAAATTAAGTTTAAAAAAACATGTCCGAAAATTACATTACACCTCGAAGAAAAAAAAGGAAATTACAACCAAGTTTTTGGTGTTCACCGCGCCTTCTGCCTCTGGGATCCGGGGTGACCGATGGTGCACCATCGTCACCGCCGCTTCGCTGCCAAAGCAAGCCACACCTTCTATATAGTCAGGGAAGTCGTCGAGGCTTCGAGCAGAGAACCAACACCCTAAAGAAGAAGCAACAACTCTGGCATACAACGATCACCGTCGATGCCTACCGAGCCGACACACCTTGCACCTCCTGAACAAGACCTCCGTTGGCTTCACAATGACGGACGAAGAGAACGCTGGTGCAACGGGGCCGGAGCCAAGAGAAAAGAATATGATGTTGGTGGCACCGCTGATGGATGTCAAATCACTAGCACTCATACTAGCTAGATACATGACCCAAGAAGAGTAGAGACAAACCATCCTCATGGACTCTCGCTGCCATCGTCGTTGAGGATGTTGTCACCAACGAACGGAATCGAGGAAACCTTATTCCCCAGCATTATAGTCGCCACCTCAGAGTCACCGTCGAGGTGGAGTTCGGGTAAACTTAATCCACTAGTGGCGTCATCACTTAATCCATTGGTAGTGTCGCCAGTGCCTTAGAGTCGTTGTTGGGAACGCAATTTGTAAACAAAGATCCGGGGTCCCCAACCTCCTGCCGCAAGAGCTAGAGACAGAAAAGGGGGATCATGAGCGCATCCCTTTTGCCAAAAAAAAGAAGGGGAAAGGTTTGAGAATTTTAATTTATTTCCCTATAAAAGTATTAAAACCCTATACTTAGCCTCTTAAAAAAATTATTGCCAAATAAAATATTTTATTCTTATGATGGACGAGGTTCCTAAAAATGAAAAATTACTTATGTTGGATTGCATATCAGAGAGAGAAAAAAAATCTTGGCCCAAGTTTGGCAGCATAGTTTTTAAAATGCAGTGATCTAAGACCTTAGTATTTTTTATATTAAAAAGCTCAGTACTGTAACATTCTTTTATTGTGAGAATGGTATTCTAACATATGTGGGCAATGAATGCCTCATTTTTTTAAACAAAATTTTCTCAACTGGTTTAGAAAAAAAGAGGCATCCAAAAACATCGATGTTGACAAATTCGAAAGAAAAAAAACCTTGGTTCCTGAAAAATGTTTCCTAAAACTTCAGAAAACCCAGACGTTAATAAATTCAGTGGTTTTCTAGCAGATTTCGAGTTGGCCTTTACTGGTTAGATGACCATCGCTTTTGAGTAGGTCTGTGTTGCATTGATGTATTTGTACATCTCAATATGTACTACACTATCCATAAAAAAAGTGTATACTATTCTCACCGTTCCTAAATATTTATCTTTTAAGAGATCTCAACAAATGACTATATACAGAAGCAAAATGAATGAATCTACGTTATAAAATATGTTTATATACATCTGTATGTGGTACTCCATTTAAAATCTCTAAAAAGACAAATATTTTGAACTGGAAGGAGTACTACACTAGCAACCAGTTGCAACAAATTTGGCCGGCCGCATCTGGATGCATAGACTGAGAGATGCAATAAATCTCTTTCTTTTTCTTTCAACAAAAGAAGAAATGTGTACTCCGAACCACGTTAATAAATTGAACTTTTTTTTTCTTTGCTTTAGCTGATACACGGATGATTTCCAGCGGAAGATTGAATGTACAATCGCATCTGAACAGCACTCGGTGGGTCGCACCGGGGAGCCCTCTGCGGTAATTTTGCTTTGACGGATGACTACGAACTTCGGATGAGCGACGGGACCTGAACCCGAGACGGACAGGATTTACTAGAGACGGCGGGAGAGAGCTCGGGCGGTGGTCGCCTCATCGGTGCAGGCCAGGTAGTGTTCCGGGCCACTTGCCGGCCACATATAGGCGGCGAAGTGCTTGTACGGTCTCGGTGTCTGTTAACTGCCGGGCCCATATGTTCCAGCGAGGGCCTTTGGCTGGTTACCACGTGGACGTCACACGTCACAACCACGTCCACCGGCAGCAGTGAGTCCTGTCGGCGAGAAACATAGTTGTTTCCGGGAGCGTGCACCGCCGGGCGAACTGTGATGTGAGAAGGTTCGTGAGAAGACCACATCCTACCGTCTCAGAGCATAGAAGATGTAAATTAGGAGATCTAAAAATTTACGTCTTCAAAAGATGCATTTTACATCTAAAATAGACAGTTCCAACGGATGACGTGAATTAGTTAGTGATGTAAAAACACAACTTCAATAGATGATGCAAGTGGAGATGTAAAGATTAGAAATGGGGCAGCTGAGCGGCGGCGGCCGGAACGCGGCGTTCGAATCTGGGCGGCGGCCACAGGGCAAAAGCTGGGGTGGGTGTAAGGGCTGGGCGGTGGCAGATAAGCAGCGGCGACGGTGGAAACGAAAACGGGGATGAACCGGCCGGCGACAGTGGAGCAGCGCAAAATACGATCGATTCGCAGCGTGAGGGTGGAGCCGTGGTGGCTGGGCGGGTGCTTAGCGGTCAGGTTGTGGCAGCGGCGACGGCAGGGGCGAACCGGCGGCAGCGGTTGAGCGGCGAAAAATACGTTAGATTCGCAGCATGCGGGCGGAGCGGCAATGGATGGGCAAGTGCTTGGCTGGTCCGATGGTGGCTGCGGCGACGGCGAAAACGAGGCAGCGACGACGGCGAATCAAGGCGGTAGGGGTGGTTGACAGACGGAGGTGGCACAGGCATGCAGCAACGGCAATGATGCGGGTGAGTCGGGGCGGCAACAGCTGTGCAATGGGCAAAGAGAGAAAGAAGGGAAAGGAAGTGAAGGGCAATTGAAGGTTGGCACGCAACCACCGTTTTCTCATCTTCTGAAAGTGAAGCTGCAAATTTGCATTGTAAGGTGTTGTATTTTTCATCTCAGGGAGGCGAAGATTTATTTCGTTTCATCTAAATCTTCTGTTGGAGGTGGGTTTTGGGGCCTTTTGCATCACAAGATGTTGTATTTTTCATCTCAGGGAGGCGAAGATGTATTTTTTTTTCATCTAAATCATCCGTTGGAGGTGGGTTTTTGGGCCCTAGAGATGCAACTGTTAGTTATTCTTGCATATACATCATCTATCAAAGATGCCCTCACCGTGAAACGTTCTTTCAGCAACATATATGCACTCATGGAAGTATTTGATTCTAACTAATTAACGAACTTTTACACGTAATAATCACATAGAGTGTGCGCTGCAGCGGAGAGTAGTATTGCTTCAGTCATCCAGACCGAATTGCCTCTCGAGTTGCGCGTGCTCCTTGCTTTGTCATCCAGACCCTCCACATTGACCTGCAAATGATGGAGTCTACACAAGCCCACGCCAATGGATGAGCAACAAGATTACTCAACTATGGCAATCCAGACGACTCGAACCGATGGTCCCGTAAAACTACTAGTACCTCCATTCCTAAATACTCCCTCCGTCCAAAAAATTTTGTCTTAGATTTATCTAGATACGGTTGTACCTAATACTCCCTCCGCCCGAAAATACTTGTCATCTAAATGGACAAAAAAGATGTATCTAGAACTAAAATACATCTAGATACATCTTCTTTTATTTATTTTGATGACACATCTTTTTTTATTTATTTTGATGACAAGTATTTCCGGACGGAAGGAGTACTAAAATGTGACTTGATATATCTGTATTTAGACAAATCTAAGACAAGAATTGTGGAACAGAGGGAGTACAAGTCTTTCGGGGTATTTCAATGTCGACTACATACGAAGCAAAATGAGTGAATCTACACTTTAAACTATATCTATATACATCCGTATGTAGTTCACATCAAAATCTCCAGAAAGACTCATATTTAGGAACGGAGGAAGTACATGACGAGCTCAGCGGGAGTGCAACAAAGACACTGAATGGCACTATGGCAGTTCACGTCCAGCGAGCGAGCGATATCAGGCTGCTCGTTACAAGAGGTATATAGCATCCAAAAGCGTCTTGCTCTTCCGTAAGGTGACGAGCCCTTAAAGTGCAATTATGATCCCGGGCACACATGCACCTTGGATAAGCAGTAAAATCCGAAAAAAATAGAAAAAACAGTAACTTCTTAAAAATTGGCAACAAATGTTGCTTTGTTTTTATC